ACCATGAATTTTATGTTTGTCCTGGCCTCGATTTTGGTGGATTCCATGTTGCTTGAATGGTGCCTGACTTCCAACTGGCGATGATGAGTTATTACCAGCATTTAAGGGTTCATGTTTGAACACGTTATAACACGTTAGTACAAGAATGTTCAGGTCCATCGAAATCAAAATTAGTCAGGGACTTTCTCTATGAACTTTTTGAAGCCCCCCCCCCCCCTCACATATCCATATGCGTACTTACATCGCCCCAACTACACTTTCCACTCTCCTCCACTCCCTTCTCTACCCCCTACCCTTCCCCACCCCATACTCTACTCCTCCTACCCTTCCCCACCCCCTTCTCTACCCCCCTACCCTCCTCCACCCCCTACATTACCCCCTCCTCCACTCCCTTCTCTACCCACTACCCTCCCTCCACCCCATACCTTTCCCCACCCCATACTCTACCCCTCCTACCCTTCCCCACCCCTTCTCTACCCCTTACCCTCCTCCACTCCCTACTCTACCCCCTACCCTTCCCCACTCCATACTCTACCCCTCCCCCTACCCTTCCCCACCCCCTTCTCTACCCCTTACCCTTCCTCACCCCATACTCTACCCCTCCCCCTACCCTCCTCCACTCCCTTCTCTACCCCCTTACCCTCCTCCACCCCCCTACCATCCTCCACCCCCTACTCTACCTCCTCCTCCACTCCCCAGACCTACACCGGCGGCGCGAAGGACCTGTCCCCTGAAACTCGGGTTCTGGACCTCGATCTCTTCGACAGGAACCTCGGCAGTCTCGAAGTCTGGGATTTGGTGGATCCCATTCGCCTCGTCCTGACAAGGAATGTGGGGAACGGGTCCTCTCTGCCAGGTAGTTTTGGTCTTAAAAGTTTGTCATGGTTGTAAAAAGAAACCAACTCGTCGAGAAAATAGGTTCAGGACACGCATACAGTTGGGGAAAAAACAGTTGGAAAAAAAATAGATGAATGAATAGGAGAATAAAAAAACAGCTGGAAAAAAACGATAGATGAATAAATAAGAGAATAAAAAAACATCAAGGTATATAATCATTATGGATAATTTCCATTCACATATCGATTGGTTTTCTCACTTTTGAAACAGTTACAGCCAAAATTTGTAATGTTTCGTGTTAAATAGGCTTGGGAAAGGAAACCTACTTTTTATGCAATGAGACAGAAAATTTGCAATGAAACAGTCATAACTATAAAAGAAAAAAATAACACCATAAAGTGTTGCATGTAATTAGACTCATTTTCATATCAAATAGATGGCGTCTCTCTTATATTTCCTTAAAGTCTAGTGTTATTTAGAAATGATGAGATGAGAACGTATTAGAAAACCAATTAAAAAAGAGGGGAAATTGTCCATAATGATTATGTATCTTGACGTTTTTTATTCTCTTAATTATTTATCTATTGTTTTTTTTTATCCAACAGAAAAGCAGAAAAGACAAACTCAAAAAAACATGATATATAAATTTTCTAATTAAGTGTACATTTCACTGCTCCAGATTTCCAGTACGTCAACGCAAGCCAGGAATCACAGCTTCAGCAGACCCCCATTATGTATAGCACTTTCAACGTCACAAAGGTTAGTGAAGTCTCTCTGTGAAGCTGTATTGTTCAGTCGAGATCTGGAATGTATTTTAATGATGTAGTTCAGTTGGCCAAAGTTGGGACAGCTGTATTACAAAATCCTTACTTGTGAACAAGCTTAGCATTGATGCCACTAAAGGTGTGATGTATTTTCTATTCGCGTATAAAAAATAGTTAATATATATATATATATGTGTGTGTATATATATATATATATATATATATATATATATATATATATATATGTATATATATATATCATGTATATATATACACACACACTCCTTTTTCCCTCCTTCCATCTTTATTCCGTCCATCTCCTTCCCCCTCCCTTCCCCAACCTTCTCTCCCCCCCCCATAACCCCCTCCCCTCCCCACCTCTCCACTTTCTCCCCCCCCATAACCCCTCCCCCCCTCCCCTCTCCACTTCTCTCTCTCCCCCTTCCCCCCTATAACCCCCTCCCCTCCCCACCTCTCTCTCTCTTCCCCCATAACCCCCTCCCCTCCCCACCTCCCCACATCTCTCCCCCTTCCCCCCTATAACCCCCTCCCCTCCCCACCTCTCTCTCTCTCTCTCCCCCCCTCCCCAACAGAGCGGCTTATCAGTGAACCTGGAGATAACGCCGACCGACCCCGAGAACCACCGCCTGTTCGTGTTGGTCTCGGCGCCGAAGGTCCCGACGCTCAAGGACCACATCTTCTTCTCCATGTTGGAGGACATCCCCAAAAACGAGGGTGAGTTCCGTGGATTTTGGATATTTTGGATCTTTGGGAGAGGGTGAGGGAATGTGGTGGTTAGATGTGTTTGTCTGTATATATATTTTTTCTTTTTTTCTTTTTTTTTACTTACTTTCTCTCTCTCTCTCTCTCTCTCTCTCTCTCTCTCTCTCTCTCTCTATATATATATATATATATATATATATATATATATATATATGTATATATATACATATATATATATATATATATATATATATATATATATATATATATATATATATATATATATATCCCTCCCCTCCATCTCTTTCCCCTTCCCACTCTCTTCTACATCTCCCTTCCTCTTTCTCCCACCCACCCCTACCCTCCCCCTTCCACACTCCCCTTCTTTCCCACACTCCCTCTCCCTCCTCCTTTCTCCCACCTTCCCTCTCTCCCTTTCCCTCCCATTAAAAAAAAAAAAAAAAAAAAAAAAAAAAACTAACTAACCCATCATCTGTTTTTTTTTCTCTCTCTCTTTCTCACTCATCCACCCACCCACCCACACGCCCGCACGCCCGCCCATACACCCACACGCCCACGCCAGACACCCACGACTGGTTCTTCACGAGCAAGGAGATCAACGAGACAGGGCAGTACTTCGTGGGCATCGGAGAATTCAAACCCGATTTCAACGTGAGCCTTATGCAGGATCCTTGGGGCAATAACGTGACAAACGACGCCCTTCAGAACATCACCATTGACTATTACCTAAGGGTGTTCACGTCCGGGTGTTATTACTTCAATAAGACCCTTAATGACTGGGTGGATGATGGGTTGGAGGTGAGTTGTTGTTTTTTCTTAGGGGGTTTAAAGGGGGGTGGGGGGTAGGGGGTTAAGGGAGAGTTAAATGAGGTTGATGTTATGGAGGTATAGGTGTGTATGTATATACATTTATACACACACAGACACACACATACTTATACATACACACATACTCACACACACACACACAACACACACACATACACACAACACACAAACACACACACACACACGGAAACATATGAACACACACCACCGAATTAAAGAAAACAAAACAAAAAACAAAAAAAACGAAATAAAAACACCACCAGTCCATAACCCCCCCAAAAAAATGAATATCTAAATAACTCAATAAAATAGAAATCAGAACACCACCATTCTGTAATCAAAATACAGTAAATAGATAACTAAATAACCCAATAGAATAAGAAAATAAAACTAACACCACCTCAACACCAGGTGGTCTTCTCGAACTACAACGCCACGGAATGCAACACCACTCACCTCACCAGCTTCGGTTCAGGGATGTTCGTGATGCCGAACACCATTGACTTCAGCTTCGTCTTCGCCAACATGGGATTCTCCGATAACCTGACTATCTATCTGACGTTGATTCTTAGTTTGTCTATTTTCGTTCTGCTGATGATCTGGGCGAGGTACAAGGATAAGAAGGATTTGTCGCAGGTGAGTGAGGTGTGGGGGGGAGAGATAGGGAGAGGGAGAGGGAAGGGGGAGGGAGGGAGAGGGTTTTGAGAGAGAGAGACAGAGAGGGAGAGAGTAAATGAGAGATAAAGAGAGAGAGAGTGAGGGAAGTAGAGAAAATGAGAGAGAGAGAGAGAGAATCGGAGAACGAGAAAGAGAGAGAATCAGAGAAAAAGAGAGAGACAGAGAGAGAGAATCAGAGAAAGAGAGAGAGAAAGAGAGAGAGAGAGAGAGAGAGAATCAGAGAAAAAGAGAGAGAGAGAGAGAGAGAGAGAGAGAGAGAGAAAGAGAGAATCAGAGAAAAAGAGAGAGAAACAAATAAAGGGAAAAAAACAGAATTAAACAGTATACTTTACAGAAAGGATTTGTGAAAAAAAAATATATATGCAAAGTAAACCAAACTGAAAATAATAATGATAATAATAACATAACAATAATAAGGATGATAACAGTAACTTGATGATATTAATGATAATGATATTTCTATGATGATATTAATGATAATGATATTTCTATGATGATATTCATGATAATGATATTTCTATGATGATATTAATGATAATGATATTTCTATGATGATATTAATGATAATGATATTTCTATGATGATATTAATGATAATGATATTTCTATGATGATATTAATGATAATGATATTTCTATGATGATATTAATGATAATGATATTTCTATGATGATATTCATGATAATGTGATGATGATAATAGTAGTAGCATGATATAATAATGATGATAATAACATCCCACCCACCCACCCTAGCTCGGAGCCACCCCACTCCCGGACAACAGCGCTAAGGACAAGTACCTCTACGAAGTCCTCGTGTTCACCGGCAACAAGAAGGAAGCGCAGACGGACTCGACGGTGCAGTTCATCCTGACGGGGGAGAGAGAGGAGACCGACGTCAGAACCTTCAAAGACGAGCAGCGGAAGGTGTTTAGGAAGGGCGCCGTTGATGTGTTCGTGATGGCGGTTCCTAGGTAAGGAGGGGAAGGGGGAAAGGGTGGGGTTGGTGGTGGGTTAGAAGGGTAAGGGTGGGTTGGTGGGTGGGTTATTAGGGTGGGCGGTATGGTGTTTGTTTGCGTGTTTGTTACTTTGTTTTGTTTTGTTTTGGTGAAATGTTCTGTTTGTTTATTTATTTTTATTTGTTTTTCTATTTTTCCTCATCCTTGGTTTTGCATTTTAGATTTTCTCTCTTAATTATACATATATTTTTTTTGAATGTGTAATGTTTTATTATATACTTCTTATTTTTCATTATTTATAGTTTTTATTATTTCTCTTTCTTTTCTTTTCTCTTCTTTTCTCTTCTGAGATTATTTGATAATAAAGGTATATTTTTTTCTCCTTTTTTGTGGGATATGATTCAGTGGTGCACATTAGTCTACGGTTATTTACACCAGTTTTCATTTCTTTTCTCTATGACGAGTAGATAAAGGACTGAGCAATTGTTCCTTTCCCTTAACTGATATAGTGCTTATCGTAATAATCTTAAAGCCTAAAATTCAAATATAATACCAGTATGTAATGTTATGGCCATGCATTAAATGTACCACAGTTTGCCCACGCCTGTGCATTTAGCCATGCGTGGTAAATATTGGATTGAATTGAACTAGATTATTTTATGGTTAATGAACATTTTTTGTATGAGGTGTTTATATACTGTGTCTCTGTCTGTTTTATTTTATCTGTCTGTATTTATCTATGTATATTCTTACCTCCCCCCCTCCCCCCACCGTCCAACCTCCAACGCCTTCTCCCTTTCCTCTCCCTATCCCTCCACCCACTACCCACCTCCCCCTCCCCTCTATACCCACTCTGTACCCCATACACTACCCCCTACTTCAAATACCCTCCCCCCCTTCTCCACCCCTATTCCCACCCTTCCCCCTAACACCTCAAACACCCTTTCACCCTTTTTTCCATTTTCTCCCTTCTCTCACCCATCCTCTCACCCTCTCTTCCTTCCTCTCCCTCCTCTCCCTCCTCCCTCCTCTCCCTCCTCCCTCCTCCCTCCTCCCTCCTCCCCATTCCCTTCTCTCTCACCCAACCTGTCACCCAATCACCTTTTCCTCCTTCCTCCCCTTCTCTCTTTCCCCTACCCCCACCTTTACTCTCCTTACCTCCACCCATCTCTTTCTCCCCCTCCCTTCTTCCCTCCTCCCTCCTCCCTCACCCTCCTTCCCTTCCCTCCTCCCTCCCCCTCTCTCCTCTCCTCCCTCCTCCTCCCTCTTCCCTCAACCTCCCCCCCTCCTCCTCCCTCCTTCTTTTTCCCTCCCCCTCCAAACCAGGCCCCTCGGCGACCTGGAGTTCCTGCGCATCTGGCACGACAACACCGGGAAAGGACCGAACGCGTCTTGGTATCTGAGTTACATCGTGTTCCGTGACGTCCAGACGGGCAAGAAATACGAGTTCATCGCCAATAAGTGGTTGGCGGTGGAGAGTAAGGACGGACAGGTGGGTTGGTGTTGTGGTTGTTGGTGGCGTTGGTGGTGGTGTTGGTGGTGTTGCTGTTGTTGTAGCGTCGTTTGGGATGATAATTTTCTATATTATAGATAGATAGATATATACACAGATTTTAAATGTAGGATTACTGGTGACTTTGGACTTATTTCGTATTTGTTCTATATTTATTTCTTTATATCAGTTTGTTTTTACACACACACATACACACACATAGTTTTTTATGTAAATCTGTTTTTTTCTGTGTATATTATGCCATATATCGCTTTAGACAGATTTGTTCTCTCCATATTCTTGCACAGATTTTTATTTCCATAAACATGTATATTTCTTTAACACAACCTTTTTATATATATATAAATTTATCTCAACAGATCGACCGCCTCCTTCCTGTCGCTGGCAAAGAACAGATGACGGAGTTCACGCATTTGTTCAACACGACGAAGAACAAGAACTTAGCTGACGGTCACCTGTGGTTCTCCGTGTTCTTGCGTCCTCCCAGGTCGCGGTTCACCAGGTGGGTGAACCCTCCCTCTTTCCCTCCCTCCTCCCCTCCTTCTCTCGCCCTCACCCCTCCGCACTCCCATTACCCTCTCCTCCCTCACTCTTTCCCTCACCCTTCCTCCTTCTCTCTTTCCCTCACCCTCCTTCCTTCCCTCTCTCTCTCTTCCCCTCACCTTCCCTCCCTCCCTCTCCCTTTCCCTCACCCTTCCTCCTCCTCTCTCTCTCCCACTTCCCTCACCCTCCCTCCTTCCCTCCCTCTCCCTTTCCCTCACCCTTCCTCCTTCCCTCTCCCCTCCTCTTCCTTCACCCTCCTTCCCTCCCTCCGTCTCTCTTTCCCTCACCCTCCCTCCTTCCCTCCCTCTCTCTTTCCCTTATCCTCCCTCCCTCCCTCCCTCCCTCACCTCTCCCTTCTCCATCCCCAGGTGTCAGCGTGTTGCCTCATGCTTCGCCCTGCTCTTCCTGTCCATGTTGGTGAACGCTATGTGGTACGACCAAGTTCCTGAGCAGCCTGGAACGGGAGGCCTTCAGTTGGGGCCTTTCAGTCTTAGTCCTGAACAAGTGAGTTTTTTTGTGTTTTTTTTGTAACTTAATAATTTAAGTTTTTTATGGCTTTAAATTGATAGTTTTTTTTGTCTAGGTTCTGAGTAAGTAAGATTTTTTTGGGTTGATAACTTAATGATTTTAGTAGTTTTTTTTTACAAACTTTTAAATTGATGTCTTTTTAGTCTGACTTGAACAAGGATGTTTTTTTTGTATTTTTTTTCTTGATTGATAACTTAACGGTGTTAATGATTTTAACTTTTTTTTAACCTTTAAATTGATAGTTTTTCTGTCTCTCCCTCACACCCCTCACCCCCCTCACCCTCCCAGATCGGCGTCGGGGTGATGAGCAACCTGATCGTGTTTCCTCCTTCTGTCCTCATCGTCTTTTTCTTCCGGAAGGCGAGGCCGAGGAAACTCAGGAAGTCGAGGGTCACGGAGGCGGTGGAGAGGACGCGTGAGTTAGGGGGGTGGGGGGGGGGGGGGGGGGAGAAGAGAGGGGAGGGAGGAGGGGGAAGAAAAAGGAGGGGGGGGAGGGGGGGATGAGGAGGGAAGGGGGGGAAATGGGAGGGGGATGGAGGGAGGGAAGGGGGAGTGGAGAGGAAAGGGGGAAGGGGTGGAGAGGACGCGTAAGTTGGGGGTGAGGGGGGGAAGGGGGGAGTGGGAGGAAGGGGGATGGGGAGTGGGGAGGAGAAGGAAAGGGGGAAGGGGGGGAGGGAGACTCAGGAAGTCGAGGGTCACGGAGGCGGTGGAGAAGACGCGTGAGTTTATGGGGGTGAGGGGGGAAAGGGAGGGAAGGGAGGGGAAGGGGTGGAGGAAAGGGGGGAGGGAGGAGGAGAGGAAAAGGAGAGGAGAGGTGGGAAGGGAGAGGAAGGGGGGGAAAGGGGAGAGAAGGCGTGGAGAGGGCGCATAAGTTGGGGGAGAGGGGGAGGAAGGGGGGTGAGGAAAGTTGGAGGTAGTGGAGGGAGGGGGAGAGGGGAAGGGAAGCGAAGGGGTGGGTGTGGTGGAGAAAGGGGAGGAGAGGGAAGGGTGGTGGGAATGGGAAGAGGTAGAGGAAGAGGAGAGAGGGGTAAGGGGGGAGGGGGAGGAGGGAGGAGAAGAGAGGGAGGGGGGAGGGGGGAAAGCGACTAGGGCTGGGGAAAAAGGGTGATGAGAACACGTGAGTTGGAGGATGGGGGGGGGATGGTGGGGTTGGGGGAAAATGGGACAGAGGGTGAAGAAAGGTAAGGGTAAGCGGATGGGGAAGGGGGAAAGGAGGAGGAGGGGATGGGGTAGGGTGGGGGGGAAGGGAGGAGGAATATTAAGGTAAAAGGGGTTAAGAAGATGGGGGAGGAGGGGGAGGAGGGGGAGAGGGGAAAGGGTGAGAGATGGGGAGGGGGGAGGGGATAGGGGATGGGGGAGGGGATAGCGGAGGTGAATGGAAGAGATGGAAGTTGGGGAGGGAGAGAAGTGGGGGATAGGGGAAGGGAGAGGAGTGTGGGGGAGGGGGAAGGGAGAGAAGTGGGGGTGGGGGGAGGGAGGGAAGTGTGAGGAAGAGGGGTGAGGGGGAAGGAAGGGGTGGGGGGAAAGGGTGTTGGTGATGGATGCTGAAATAAGTGGGGGGGGGGGAAGGGGAGGAGAGGAGAGGAAGGGGAGGAGAGGAGAGGGGAAGGAGGGGGGGAGAAGGAAGAGGATCGGGTTAGTGCAGGAGAGAGAGGGGGAAGGTGGGGGGGGGGGAGAGTCAAGAGGGAAGAAGATGAGGGGAAACGATGGAGGGGACACGTACGAAAGAGGAGAAAAGGGACGAGATGAAAGAGGGAGCAGGCGAGAATGAGGAAGAAGGTTGGGGAGAGGGAATAAATAGATAAATAGATAAATAGGTAGATACATAAGATAAGACATAAACAGATATATAGACAAATAGATAGGATAAAGAAACAGACAGACAGACAAGTAGAGAAGACAGATAAACAGACAGATAGACAGATAGATAGGATAAATAAACAGACAGATAGACAGATAGATAGGATAAAGAAACAGACAGATAGACTGATAGATAGGATAAATAAACAGACACAGACAAGTAGATAAGACAGATACACAGACAGACAGATAGACAGATAGATAGGATAAATAAACAGACAGATAGACAGATAGATAGGATAAATAAACAGACAGATAGACAGATAAATAAAATAAAAAAAATAATATTATTTTCTTATTCCTGATTTCCAGGCCGAGAACAGGGAATAACCGAAGAACCGAGTAACGAGAGGGAAACATCGGCGCAGATAAAGAAGAGGAGAGAGAGAGAGTAAGTGATAAAGACGTAAAAGAGCAATAAAATGGATAACAGAGGTAATAGAGTAATTAAAGGGAGATGAAAGAAAAGATAAAAAGATAATAGAAATAAAATAGAATAAAATAAAAGAGAACGGACAGAGAATAAGGTAATAAGGATAACATAACACAACAAAATAAAGATAAAAATAGATATATGATAGATAGATGATAGATAGACAATACAATAATAAAGGTGATAAGACAAAAATAAAAATGGACGGACAAGAAAGCAATAATAAACAAAATGAAATAAAAAGTAAAATCATGAAAATAAAGCAAAAAAAATAAAATAAAGAAAAAAAAATCATAAATAAAGTTGAATTATGAAAAAAGGTAAAAATGGAATAGAAAATAAGATAAAATGAAGTAAATGAAAATAGAGGAAAACGAAAAACAGAAAGAAAGATAATAAGGGTAAAAAAGATAATAAAATAAAGTGAAAAACAAACATAGATGAATATAAATGAAATTAGATGATATAAAAATAGTGAATAAATATCAGACTAATAAAATATTAATAAATGAAAATGAAATAAATAAGAATAAAAAATAGGGAAAATAAAGAATGATGGAATGAAACAAAAATCAGAATAAAAATGGATAGGGAATAGAGTGATAAAAACAAAATAAGAATAAAAGATGGGAATAGATACATAATAATAATAAATTAGAAATAGATAGATGATAATAATAAAACAAAATAAAAGCAAAGGAAATTGATAGATAATGTGATAATAAAGATGATAAAATAATATTAAAAAATAACGATATACAAATAATAGTAATAAAATAGCATAAAACATGGATAGGGAATATGATAATAATATTGATAAAAGGTGGGTAGATAGAGAAAGGAGAGGCAGAAAGAAGAGAAGAGAGAGAGAGAGAATTATAGATAAAAAGAGAAATTATCAAAATAATGCGTGATAAAAGGATAGACAGATAAAGAAAGACGAAAGAGAGAATAATACGCGATAGATAGACAGATAGATAGAAAGAGGGGAACAAAACAAACATAGAAAAACTGGATAAGATAAGTGAAAATTAAACATGGAAAATGAGATACATGAAAGAGAAATAAGATAGATAAATAGATAGATAGACAGAGGAGAAAAACAAACAGTTAAAAGGTAGATAGATAGACAGAGGAGAAAAAAATAAGATAGATAGATTGAGAAGAAAAAACAAACATTAAAAAGATAAGAAAATTAAGGAATCAAACAATAAAAGATAAGATAGATAGACAGATAAAGGAGAAAGCAAAAGAAAAACAAAAAAACGAATAAATCTTACGAAGAATTTATTTGAAAAAAAATAACAATAATTTCAAGAAATATTTTGCATATTTTTCCATTTCTCTATTTTACTTTTTTTTAATCTTCCTATTTTACATTTTTTTTTATCTCCCTATCTACTACTCCATTTGCATTTACAGAAAACGTACGAAATTCGCACGCCTTCATATTTGATCACATTTTACTCCATTCCTTCTAAACTCACATTTACGCGAGAGAGAGGGAGAGAGAGAGAGTGAGAAAGAAAAAAAGAAAAAAAAGAAAAAAAAATGTATATATATATATATATATATATATATATATATATATATATATATATATATACAGACATATATATATATATATATATATATATATATATATATATATATATATATATATATATATATATATATATATATATATATATATATATATACATATATATAGATAGATATAGATATATATATATATGTGTGTGTGTGTATAAATGAATAAGTAGATATATATATATATATATATATATATATATATATATATATATATATACATATATATATATATATATATATATATATATATATATATATATATATATATATATATATATATATATATATATGTATATATATATATATGTATATATATATATATGTATGTATATTTATGTATATATACACATACATATGCATACATATACACATATATATTTACATTTTACATATTCACACAACTTCGATCTCCCTATTTACTCCATCATCTACACATCCATCCACCTCCCTACCTACCTCTCCATCTACACATCCTTCCATCTCCCCAATTACCTCTCAATCTTCCATCTACCTAATTACCTCACCTGCTTTCCACCTCTCCCTAATTCCTCCTCCATTCAACATTTTCAGAAAGCGCAAGAAATTCACGCTGCCTTGGTGGATGTCGCATCCTTCCATCTCCCTAATCACTCCTCAATTTACACATCCTTCCATCTCCCTAATTACCTTTCCATATACAAATCCTTCCACCTCCCTAATTACCCCTCAATTTACACCTGTTTTCACCTCCCTACTTACCTCTCCATCTACACATCCTCCCACCTTCCTAACTCCTCCTCCATTCAACATTTGCAGAAAGCGCAAGAAATTCACGCCTGTTTTCTATCTCCCTAATTCCTCCTCAATTTACATACCTTTCCATCTCCCTAATTACCCCTACATTTACACCTATTTTCACCTCCCATTCTACCTCTTCATTTTCATCTATTTATCCCTCTATTTTCATCTCCTTATTTACCCCTCCACACATCCTTCCACCTCCCTATCTACCTCTCCATTTACACCTGCTTTTAACTTCTCCCTAATTCCTCTTCAATTTCAAATTTGCAGAAAGCGCAAGAAATTCACGCTGCCTTGGTGGATGTCGCATCCTTCCACCTCCTTATTTACATCTTCATCTACACATCCTTCCACCTCCCTAATTCCTCCTCAATTTACATACCTTTTCATCTCCCTAATTACTCCTCAGTTCACACCTGCTTTCCACCTCTCCCTAATTCCTCCTCCATTCAACATTTTCAGAAAGCGCAAGAAATTCACGCTGCCTTGGTGTATGTCGCATCCTTCCATCTCCCTAATTACCTCTCCATCTACACCTTCTTTCACCTCCCTACTTACCCCTCCATTTACATACCCTCCACCTCCCTACCCATCCCTCCATTTACACCTATTTTCACCTCCCTAAATACTCAATTTGCATTTGCAGAAAGCGCAAGATATTCACGCTGCCTTGGTGGATGTCGCATCCTTCCATCTCCCTATCTACCCCTCAATTTATACCTATTTCCACCTCCCTAAATACTCAATTTGCATTTGCAGAAAGCGCAAGAAATTCACGCTGCCCTGGTGGATGTCGCTCGTGGCCTGGCTCCTCGTCGTCGCTTGTATAGCAACTTCTTGCTTCTTCCTGCTCATGTATGGCGTTATGTTCGGAAATTCTAAGGCGACCAAGTGGGTGACGTCCCTTATCGTCTCGTTCTTCTCCTCGATACTTTTCATCCAGCCTTTGAAGGTAAGGAGGTGGGAATGGGGGGTGGGAATTGGCAGGAATGGGGGTGGAAGGTGGTGGGATTTGGTAGGAATTAGTGGGAATGGAAACTGGAATGGGGGTCGGAATGGAAGGTAGGAATGGAGACTAGAAATGGGTGGGAATAGAGGCTAGAAATGGTGGGAATGGAGACTAGAAATGGATAGGAATTGGTAGGAATGGAAACTGGAATGGGGATGGGAATGAGGGTGGAAGATGGTGGGAATTGCTAACAATGGAAAGTGGGAATGGGGGAATTGGTGGGAATGAAGGTATGACTTGCCAGGAAAGGAGTGTGGAAGGTAGTGGGAATAGAGATCGAAGGTGATAGGAATGGAGGGTGGAAATTGGTGGAATGGAGGGGGGGGATTATTGGGAATGGGGGGTAGAAATTGGTAGGAATGGGGATGGAATGTGGTGGGCATTGGAGAGAATGGAGGATGGGAATGGAGGGTCCAGAATTGGTAGGGGATGAGGTGGAATGGAGAGTAGGAATTGATGGGAATGTGGGTGAAAGGTGATAGGGAATTGGTTGGAACGAAGAGTGGGAATTACTGAGAACAGATCATGGGAATTGATAGGAATGGAAGGTGAAGATTGGTTGGAATGGAGGTGGGAATCGATGGGAATTGATAGGAATGGGGGGTTGGAAGCTGGTTGGAATGAAGGTGGGAATCGATTTCGATAGAGGGTGAATAAAGAGAATAGAGAATAAAGATACATGACAGAAATGAACATAGAAATCGATAGAAGGAGACACGGAAGATGGTAGAAAGTTAGATAGAAATTGTTGGAAATTAAGAGAGGAAATTAAAGATAAAGATAGAGAAGAAAAAGTGAAAAAAATTGGAAATGTTTTCATGGAGGAGGCAGAGTGACAGCCTAAAACCAGTGAGAAAAAAATGATAAATATAAACAGTTGTATTAAGAATAATAATAACATCAGTAGCGATAATGACAATAATAGTGATGGCAGTGATATTGCTAATAAGAATACTAATTAAATACTAATCATTAGTATCATTACTACTTTATTGTTGCTAGGATAAGTATAAGAATTTGCAATTACAAGCGACTTAACACAACTTCTTCCCGCCCCTCCCCCCTCTCTCTCTCCTTCCCTCTCCCTCCCTTCCCCTTCCCTCCCTTCCCCTTCCCTCCCCCTCCCTCCCTCAACCCTTTCCCCCCCCCTTCCCCACCCCTCCCTCAACCCTCCCCTCCCCATTTCTCTCCTTTCCCTCCCCCTCCCCCTCCCCTTTACCCTCCACTTCCTTCCCCACCCCTCTCTCCCCTCTTCTCCCACTCCCATCCCCTCCCCTTCCCTCTCCTTCCTTCCCTCTCCACCCCTCCTCTCCCCCTCCACCTCCTCCCCTCCCCTTCCCCTCCTATTCCCTCTCCTTTCCTCCAGATCTTCATAACGGCCATGATCGTGAGCGCCGTCTTCAAGTCAGTCAACCTGGACGAGGACGACGCAGACGAGGACGAAGAGGATCCCGAGCTGGAGGACGACGAGGCGTGGATGCATGACGGGGGTGAGTTGGAGGAGGAAGGAAAGAGAGAGAGAAAAAGAGAGAGAGAGGGAGAAAGAGAGAAAAAAAGAGGGAGAGAAAGAGAGACGTGTGTATATGTGTGTATAAATATATGTGTGCGTGTGTGTGTGAGAGAGAGAGAGAGAGTGTGAGAGAGAGAAAGACAAACGAATAAAGAGAAAGAGGGAAAGACAGATGAACAGAGAGAAATAGAGAACACAGAGAGACAGAGAGAAAACAAAAGAAAGATAATTTGAAAAAAAAATGAATCCACAAAAAATATGTATACATACACATATATACCACATTTTTTTTTTCAAAAAATATAAAACCCGCTTTCATTCTAACCCTCTCTCCCCCCTCCCCCTCCCTTTCCCCCTGTCCCCTGCCTCCCCCCTTCTCTTTCCCCCTGCCCCCCTTTCCCCCTCCCTCTCTCCCTGCCACCCTTTCCCCATTCTCTCTCCTACTGGCCCCTGTCTCCCTCCCCCCTCCCCCTCTCTCTCCCCCTCCCCCTGGCCCCCTTTCCCCTTCCCTCCCCCATCCGCCTCCCTCTCCCCTCCTCTCCCCCTTTCCCCATTCTCTCCCACTGGCCCCTGCCTCCCTCCCCCCCTCCCCCTCTCTCTCCCCCTCCCCCTGGCCCTCTTTCCCCCTTCCCCCCTCCCTCTCCCCCTGCCCCCCTTTCCCCCTCCCTCTCCCTTCCCCTCCCCCTTTCCCTCCTCCCTCCCCCTCCCTCTCCCCTTCTCTCTCTCACAACCCACAGACCGCAAGAAAACGAAGAAGAAACTGGAATACAAGAAAGCGGATTCCCGAGTGCTGCAGGAACTGAGAGAACGGCGAAGGAAGGAGGTGGAGATGTACGAGATCCTACGAGAGATCTTCGCCTACATGATGTTCTTGTGGGTCCTGCTCATCCTCTCGTACGGAAATAGGTGAGGAGGAAGGGGAGGAGGGGGGGGGGAGGGGAGGAGAGGGGAGGGAGGAAAGGGGGAGGGTAGGGTCTTTTCGGATGAGCCTTTTTGATGATGTTTTCATTGTCTTTTTTTTTTTTTTTATATGGTCGTCTTGTTTTTTTTATATATATCTTGTTGTTTTTTGTTTGTTTGCTTCTTTTAGGGGGAGGGGTTGTTGTTGTTTTTTGATGGAGTCGTTTTCGGATTAAGGTTTTTGGATGATGTTTTCGTTTTTGTTTGTTTGTTTGTTTGTTTTGCTGTTTTTTTTTATGGGGGCGTCTTCGGATGAACCTTGGATGTTTTGGATGAATTTGTGGATAGATGCGTTTTTGGATGAAACTTTTTTCATAATTTACTCTCCTTACAGGGACCCCAATGCGTATTTTCTACAGCAGAGCCTCAATCAGGGTTTCATTCACAAAGGAGCACTCGATGGCAGCGACTACACGAAGGTAATATTATGAATGAAAAGAGGAGAGAGACGGAGAGGCGGGGAGAGGCGGATGGATATATTGAGGGAGGGAGAAGGAGGGAGAAAGATAGGGAGAAGGAGGGAGGGGGGTGATGGAGGGAAGGAGGGAGAGAGGGAAGGAGGGAGATAGGGAGGTGATGGGGGGAAGAAGAGAGAGAGAGAGAGGGGGGGGGGCGATACACGAAGAAAATAAGAGAAATAGAGAGAGAAAGAGAGCAAACCAGACAAAAAATAGAAAATAAGTACAGAGAGAGAAAGAGCAAGGAGGGTGATAGAAAGAGAAAGATTTTTTTAATACGAGAAAAAAGAGAAAGAAAAAACACTCCAAATACACATCATTTATAGACATAGCATTAAAAAAAAACACGCACAAGTAACTAGGAACAACCACTTAACAACCACAACAACCACAAAAATACGAACCCATACATATACTCTAATACCACTTTCCTCCTACGTACAGGCCACCAACGCAGACCGATTTTGGCGTTACTTGCACGTAGGCCTACTTCCCGATCTACGTGCAGACCGCCTGTATAACGGTAGCCCCCCCTACGGCCTGCGGGGCTACCTGGGCGATCAGTGCAACAGGATCATGGGCTATGCAACCATCAGGCAGGCTAGGATTAAGAAGGATTCGTGCAGGTTTGTGCTAGGATTTCTTCTTCTTCTTTCTTTTCCCCCCCATTTTTCTTTCCTTTTTCCTTTTTTTTCTTTTTTTCCTGTTTTTTTCACTTTTTCCCATTTTTCTATTATTGTTTCGCATGTTTTTTTTTTCTTTTTTTATAATTTTTCCGCTGTTTCATTTTTCCCTCTTCTTTTTCCTTCTTCCTCTACTGTCTCCACGAAGAGCTAATTTCAGCCAAGTTGAAAGTATTTTTTTAATAGTATTCAATAAAAAACATTTCGTTTCAGTATACTTATGGAAAGCCACATACGCAGCAAAATACAAAATCGCGCAACACGATCGCGCCGAAGCAACTGTTGCCGTTGCGCCGTGTATTCGCATGCGTCTCCAAAACTGTCATTCAATTGTCGCGCAACTGTTTCCCGATTGTCGCGCAACACCGAGATTGTGTCTAGACTTGTCGCTTGATTGTCGTGCAACTGTTTCCCGACTGTCGCGCAACATCGAGTGTCGCGCGATTGTGTCTAGACTTTGCATGTTGGTGTGAATAGGGAGTTAGACGCAGGAGTAAGTTCAGAATCACATTTTTAAAAGTTAGTTTGCTACAGAAACCTCTTCTATATCTTATTCATTCATCTACTGATTCGTTTATTCCTCTTTACATGGCCATATTTATACTTATTCTCACACCTGCATTCCTGATTGTGACTCAAATACAACCCTTAAAATTCTTCAACGCCCTGAAAAAACACTGAAATTTGTTTTAGAAAAGGAAACCCCAGATAATGAGGAAAAAAAAAAACTTTTAACCTCTGAAAAATCACTGGAAACCTCTAACTCCCGGTGAAACCATAGACAGTCTCTACCTAAACCCCTAAACCCTTTGGAAATCTCAGTACAAGGAAACCTCAAAAAAGAAAAAATCCCGAAAAATATCAATTACTTGAAAGAAAAAAAAACTAAAACCTCATAATGTCTCTTTAAAAAAAGTCCCCTTTAAACCCTAAGTCCCTCCCAAAATAAAAATCTCCAAACCCCATTAAAAAAAATACTGAAACACCCCCTCTGAAACCCCCATGAAACCCAGAGTGAACAAGAAGTTACGCGGAATCATCAAGAGCTGCAGCGGTTTCTCCAACGTCTTCAAGGAGGAAAACGAGGCTTTCTGCGCCGACTGGAAACCTCCGACCAACCTCACTAAAGATACGGCGGACTGCAATATCCCCGAATTCAGGTAAGAGCCTTAAGGGGTTAAGGGTGGTTGTGGGGTTGGTTGGTGCTGTTGTGGGGTTGGGTGGTTGGGGTTACGGGTGGTAGTGTGATTGTGTGGTTGTGGTTAAGAGTGGTTGTGAGGTTGTGTGATGCTGTTGTGTTTTGTTGGTGTGGTTAAGGGTGGTAATGTGGTTGTAAGATTGGCTGATTGGGGTTAAGGATGGTAGTGTAGTTGGGTGGTAGTGGGGTTGTGGTTAAGGGCGGTTGCGGGGTTGTATTTTAAGGCACTGGGTGTGTGGTTGTATGATGTCTTCTGTTATTATTCTTGCAGTCATTATTATTGAATATGTTTTATCATTATTATTGTTATTGTTAGTATTATCATTGATATTATCATTGTTATTATCAATATTAATATTATTATTATTATTATTACTATTATTATCAGTATGAAAAAATACTGTTATCATTGTTATTATCATTACTACTACTGTTATTATTATCATTCTTATCATTCATCTATTCCCCCCAACCCATGTCCTTGCCCCCTTCCTTCCCTCCTTCCCCCTTCCTCTACTCAATTCCTCCCTCCCTCCCGTTTCCCCCTTCCTCCCTCCCTCCCTCCCTCCCTCCCAACCCATTCCACCATTCCCTCCCTCCCTTCCACCTCCCTCCTATCCCATTCACCCACTCCTTCTCACCGTCCCCTCCACCTCCCTCCCTCCCCTTCCCCTCCCTCCACCTCCCCTTCCCCACCCTCCCACTCCCTCCGTCCCCTCCCACTCCCTCCCTCTTTCCCTTCCCTCCCACTCCCTCTTCCCTTCCCTCCTACAGCCACACCTCCGGCCTGGATCTGAACACCCTCCCGACGGTGGGGATCTTGGACATCTACGGCGCGGGGGGCTACGTCGTGCACTTGAACGGGTCTTCGAAGAACCTGAAGAAGAAGCTGACGTTCCTGCAGTCGAAGGGATGGATCGACCACCTCACTCGCTACGTGGTGGTGGAGTTCGCGTCGTATAATGCACAGGTGAGGGTGGAGGGAAAGGTGGAGGGTGGAGGAGTGGGGGGTAGATGGGTTGGTGGAAGGGGAGGGTGGGGGAAATTGTGGTGTGGAGTGGGGTGGAGATGGTGGTGGGGGTGGAAGGTGGTGGTATGGTGGGGTGGGGGTGTTGGTGGAGGGTGGAGGGAATGGGGGGTTGGTGGAAGGGGGAGGGGGGGTGTAGGGGTGGGGGATTCGTCGTGGGGAAAGGGGGGGGGGGATTGGAGATGGTGGTGGTATTTGAAATGTTAATGATGGTGATGTTGGAGATGGTGGTTTTAGTGTTGGGGATGCTGGTGTTTATGTTCTTCGTGTTGGAGATGGTAGTAGTGATAGAGATATCGTTGTTCTTCGTTGGAGATGGTGTTAGTGTTGAAGATGTTGGTGATGTGTCGTTTCCTTCCTTTGCTTTCGTCGTTATTGTTAATGATGCAGCTGCCGTTAGTATTATTATTATTATTATTATTATTATCATCATCACTATTATTATTATTATCGCTATTATCATTATTATTATTATTATTATTATTATTATTATTATTATCATTATCGCTATTATTATTATCATTATTATTATCATCATTATTATCATTATTATTACTATTATTATTGTTGTTGTTGTTGTCTATTATGTTTATTACTGCTGATTTCATACCTTTATTGCTATTAACATTATGATTGACGTCGGACTCAACATTATCAAGTGTTATAATTATTATTAGGATTGTTATTGTTATTTCATTATCTTGTTATAATCTTTATTATCGTTATTATCACTGTCACTGGTATTACCTTTATTGTGATTGTTTTAATGTTATTTAATATCATCGTCATTATGATTATTATTAACGTGTCATTGTTATTATTATTACTAGTGTTGTCATTATTGTTATTATCGATATTTGTATTGTTATTATTGGAATTATTCTTGAATTCGATTATAATAATCATTAATCATTAAAGGAACAATGATGTTTATGATAATAATACTTGTAATAATAAGATGACTGATGATGATGATACTGATAGTGATAATGACGATCGAGGGATGATTATAATGACGATGATGATGATGATAATGATAGTGATGGTGTTGGGGATGACGATGATGATTGATAATGATGGTAAATGAATAGTGATGCTGACGACGATGGTGATGATGAGGATGATGTTGATGACGATGATGATGATAATGAAGATGATTGATAATGATTGTAAATAAATAGTGAGGCTGACGATAATGGGGATGATGATGGCGATGATGATGATGGTGATGATGATGATGATAATGAAGATGACGATACTGACCCTCATCATCATACTAAAAATAACAGAGATGACGATAACGAAGCGACAATACAGAAGTCAATAAAAAAAACATGATGATGCATTACTAATGATGATAACGATGTCATTAATACCATTTTCCTTTTTTTTCCCCCAAAGGTCAATCTGTTTGGACTGTCGCACATAAGGGCAGAATTCACACCAGGAGGGGGGGTGACGCCGAGCTTCAGGTCAGTTATGTGTTTGTTGTTGTTATGTTTTGTTATGTGTTGTCATTATTATTGTTATTGATATTATTGTTATCATTGCTGTTTTTGTTATTATTATTATTATTATTATTATTATTATTATTATCATTACTATTATTATCGCCAATTCGCAGATTCACCGGGATTCGCCTCCTCCCCCACCACGACAGTTTCGGCTTGTTCATAATGGTGTGCGAGGCTTCGTTCGTCGCTTTCATCGTCTACTACACCTTCAGAGAGTTTCGTCAGCTGTGTCGGGACAAGACGGAGTATTTCAAGTGCTATTGGTCCTATGCTGAGATCGCCATCATCGTTACGTCATATGCTACCATTGTCGTCTATATTGCGAGGTGTGTGGGTATGTTTGTGTGTGTGTTTGTATGTCTCCCTGTGTGTGTGTGTGTGTGAGTGTGTGTGTGTGTGCGGACAGAGAGAGAGAGACAGACAAACAGACAGACAGACAGAGAAAGAGAGAGAGACAGACAGACAAAGAGAGTGAGACTTAGTATGAATGTGTGCACGGGGAGTGTTTAAAATAAGATTTTTTTTTTAATATGAAATTAGCATTAAATTTATAAGATAAAGAATACCCCCTCCCTCCCTTCCTCCCTCCCACAGACACCTGGCCACGCAGTCCGTCGTCGAAGTCTTCAACCTGACGCACGGAAACGGATACGTGAACCTCCAGCACGCCGCTTCCCTGGATGAGCTTTATTCCTACTTGGTGAGCTTCATCGTGTTCGTGTCGACGCTCAAGTTCATTAAGCTTCTCAGGTTCAACAGGAGGATTGGTGAGTAGCTATGCGGATGGGGTAGGGGTGGGGGTTGAGGGTGGGGGGGGGGGTGATATGGGTTGTTTGTTTGTTTTGATTGTTCGTTTGATTGTCTTTTTATTGTTTATTTGTCTTTTTGTTGTTTGTTTGTTTGTATTTTTATCTTTGTTTGTCTTTTTTATTGTTTGTTTGTTTGTCTTTTTATTGTTTGATGTGTTTATTATTGTTTGTTTGTTTATCTTTTATTGTTTGTTTGTTTGTTTCTTTGTTTTGATTGTTTGTTTCGATTTTTTATTATTTGTTTTAAGTATTTGTTCTGATTGATTATTTGCTTGTTTTAGTGTTTGTTGTTTGCTTGTTCATATATTTTTGTGTTTGCTTTGATTGTTGTTTTGATTTCTTGTTTGTTTTGATTGTTGCTTTGTTTTGTTTTAATTGATTATTTATTTTAATTGATTGTTTTTTGCTAGTTTGTATTTTTATTTGCTTTGATTGTTTATTTTTTATTGGTTTGTTTGTTTATTTTAGTCTTTGTTGCGGTGTGTTCGCTTGTTCGAGTATGTAAATATTTGTTTGTTTGATTATTTGGTGTTTGTTGAAGGGGTGTTCGTTTGCTTGTTTGGATTTCGTTTGTTTGTTTAGTGTTTGTGTTCGTTTGTTTTATTTTTGTTTGTTAGTTTTCCTTGTTCGATTCTTTGTCGTTTCTTTGAATGAATGTTTTTGGTTTGTTTTGTTTGTTATTTGTCATGTTGCTTTTCGCATGATTCTGATTATTATTATTGCTGTTTTGATTAAAAAGGATAATAAAAGTAATATTAAGAATGATATTGACACAGTGCTTATAAAAAGATACATATTTTAAAGAAGGATACGTATTTTGTTTGTTTGTTATATTGTACTCTAGCGTGACAGAAAATAAATAATAAAAAGATGAATAAACGATGATCATGATAATAACAATAATGATGATACTAAAAGGTATAACATTAATAATAATATTAATGATGATAATGATAATGATTATAATAATAGTAGTCATATTGAAAGTAACAACAGCAGCAGTAACAGCAAAAATGATGATAATCACAATAGTCAGGCTAATGATGATAGTAATAATGATAATAATAATGATAATAATAATAATGATGATAATAATAACAACAGCAACAAAAACACCAATAATGATAATAGTAACTATAATAATAGTAATCATTATCAATAACAATTTAAAAAACGATAATTATCACTGAATAACAGCTATTATTATAATTATCATCATCATTACAATACCCTCCACCCCCTCCTCATCTCTCCCCCCTCTTTCAACTCTCTCACCGCAGGCGTGCTGACCGCCACCCTCCGCCAGTGCTGGGATGACCTGAGCGGCTTTCTTATCGCTTTTATCATCTGCTTCTTGTCCTTCACCGGGATGTTCTATCTCCTGTTGAACAGCCAGCTCGAAAACTTCCATAATTTCGTCATTTCTGTGGAGACCTGTTTTAGTATGATGCTCGGTAAGTTTTTTTTGGGGGGAGGGGGGGGGAGTTTTGGGGGTGGGTAGGGTGGGGTTGTAGTTGGGTTTGGGAAGGGGTTAGGGTGGGTTGAAGTTAAGGGGGGGGGGTGTTAGGATGGGATGGGTTGGGGATGAGGTTGGGGTTGGGTTGAGTGGGGTTTTGGGGCTGTGATAGGATTGAAGTTTGGGGTTGAGATGGGTTAGGAAGGGTTGGAGTTGGGGTTGAATTAGGTTGGTGAAGTTAGTACTGAATGGGGATGAGGTTAGGGTGGGTTTGAGTGGGTTAAGTTTTGGTTGATTGAGGTTGAAATGGGCTTGGGTTTAGGGTTGGAATGGTGATGTTTGGGTTGAGTTCAGATTTGAAGTTGGAGTTTGCATTGAGTCTGGGTTAAAATTTGGGTTGAATTGGGTTGGGGCTTGGATTGGGGTTGGGTTAGATTGGGTGGGGTTGGGTTTAAAATAGGCTGGACTGGGTTAGAGTTTAGGTTGTTTTTGGGTTGAGTTGGATAGAGTTGTCAACCCAAAGAGTACTTAACCTGCCATGAAAATAATAATAATGATCATAATAATAATAATGATAATAATTATAATAATAATGATAATAATAATAATAATGATAATAATAATGATGATAATAATAACAATGATAATAATAATTAACATATTATTATAAGAATATTTACATGTCTTTATACGAATATCTAACCTGCCATGAAAATAATAACAATAGTGATAACAATAACAATATCAATAATGACAATGATAACAATAATAACAATAACAATAATAAAAACAACAATAACAAAACAACAACACCAATACTAAACATGCCAATTTCATTTTCCAATTCCAGGGAAGTTCCAATTCGAGGAGATGAAACAAGCATCTTCAGTCGTGCCAGTCATGTTCTTCATCTTCGTCCTGTCCAACTCCTGGGTCCTCATCAACCTCCTTCTTACGGTTATCATCAGGTCTTTCGAGCAGGTAAAGGAGGGTCCTTGGTGAGGCTGGTTGACGTAGAGGGGAATTCATGGGGATTGTTTTTTTGATATTGTTGTGTGTTGTGGTATAGGGGTGGGAGGTGTTATGATATAGGGGTGGGTAGGGTGTGTGTTTGTTTGTTTGTTTGTGAGGGTGTGTTTGCGAGTGTTTGTTTGTGTGTGAATGTGCGTGTTTGTTTGTTTGTTTGTGCGTGTGTTTGTTTGTTTGTTTGTTTGTGCGTGTGTTTGTTTGTTTGTGTGTGTGAGCGTGTGCTAGTTTACGTATTTTTGTTTATTGGAGTGCCACATACCACATAACTCACCCCATAACTCGCCCCCACAACACAACATAACTCGCCACATAACACCACATAACATTGCACAACACCACATAACTCGTCACATACCACATAACCCTCCCCCTCAACCGCAGGTAAAACACGACATAAAGCAACAGCCTTCGGATTACATGATGGTTTCCTTCGTCTGGAGTCGCATTCGGGGTTTCCTCGGCATGCAGGGACCCCCACCGCCCCCCTCCGTTAGCATGGCCACGCCCCTCCCCGCCTCCGAAGCCCCGCCCCCTTGTGAAGAGGAGGAGGATGTGGGGGAGAGAGTTGAGGAACTGCCCGATAAAGTGGACAAGTGGGTTGAATTTTCATGTTTTTTCATGTTTTTTTAAATGTTTTTCTTCTTCGTGTTTTCATGTTTTTTTTATGTTTTTTCTTCGAGTTCTTTTTCTTTTGTGTGTGTTGGTTGCTGAGAATTATTTTTTTTATGGGTGTTTTTTTTAATGGAATAGAGATTTTTGCGAGTTTATATAATAATAATAATAATAATTATTATTATTAATATTATTATTATTATTGCTGTGATCATATCATCACCATTATCATTATTACCATCACTATTCGTTATAATTAGCATCACCATTATCTTCCTTTTATCATCATTATTATTGTCACTTTTATCACCATTATTATCAAATATTACCGAGTTTATCTATAAAAAACTATCTCAGGTTCCTAGAGTTCGTGGATGATGTCTATTTCAACGGGACTTTGGACCTGCACAATAAGGAATTCCTGAAGACGTACATCGGGAAACCTTCAACCCGATCGTCAAGCCAAAGCCGAGGTCGATCCAGTTGGCGCAGGGAATCGGAGGGGTACGTGCCCGGGCCCAGAACTCGAAATGTCATCCAGGTTCGTATTTTTATTATTATAATTGTTGTTGTTGTTTTGTTGTTTTGTTATTATTATTATTAATATTATTATTATTAATATTATTATTATTATTATTATTATTATTATCATTATGTGTATATATGCATGTATATATTAATTTAGCTTTTCCATTAATTAAGAACTCTAAGCTAGGTAATCATTTAATTTTATCTTATTTTTTTCCTTCATTTTCAGGATTCCTTAGATGATGTCTAAAGACTTGATCGTGGAAATCGGATGCTGCGTAAGGAAAATGTGTGAAAATTTAGGCGTTATTTGCAGTGTTCGAACTTGAATTTGACTTCAAACATTTGTTTCAACATTCGTGGGCGGGAGTATAGTCGTTGCCAGGCGTATGATGAAATATCTTTGGCGAAAATGTCGTACGCTCCAACAAAACTATAGAGATTATTATTATTATTGTTAGTATTACTATTATTATTATTTTAATCATTAAAGCTAGGTAGAGGTTTAACATACTATTTAGTAAGCTGAAACAACAGGAGAGACAGAGGGAAAGAGAGAGAGAGGAAAGGAGAGGTATGTGTGTATACATACATACATTCATACATATATTTATTTATATACATACACCATAAATGCGTACTCGCACACATACATTCTGCATCATTAAATACTACTTATGTATGGTAATTTTTAAGCCTCGTAAATGACGATGATCTGGTAATACTGTCTGGGTAGGGTTTAAAGCTACTCTGGCAATACTGTATAGGCGGGCTTTGAATCTGGTCTGGGAATACTGTATGGCAGGGGCTTATATCTGGTCTTATTATACTATATGGGTAGGGTTTTAAATTAGTCTGGTAATACTGTACATGCGGAGCTTAAAACTAGTCAGGTAATATTATATGGGCTGGGCTGAAAGCTAGTCTGGTAATACTGTATAGGCGGGGTTTATATCTGGTCTGGGAATACTGTATGGGAAAGGCTTAAAACTGGTCTTATTATACTGTATGGTTTAAAGCTAGTCTGGTAATACTATATGGGCGGGGTTTTAACCTATTCTGGTAATACTGCATGGGCGGGGCTTAAACTCCCGCCATTATTTGAAATCATCCCCCGTAAACATACAAGTAAATTACATATATATATCTATAAAAGGACACTGCATGTAACGCCTAACTAACCTTAGCTTTAGAAATGATCCGTAAATACTCTTTTAATAAATAACCAATTATATATCCTTTATTTATTTTCTTTTGAAATGAAAGAAATTGTGGTTCGCTAGAACATGGAATAAACCCCCATCTTTATGTCTTGCTGTTGAGGTTACTCTTCTTTAGTAGTGTAGCGAGTTTGAAATTTCATTAAATATATATATATATATATATATATATATATATATATATATATATATATATATATATATATATATAACTTAAAAAATCCTTTGTTATATTGTCATTAAGATTATTTCGTGCAGTTTTTATTATAATTTTGATTTCTTGAAGATATGCTCTATTTTCTTCATGTTCTCCAACAGCAAGATTGTCATGTGATAAACAGTGCCTTACTATAAGACGTTTCAGGCGATGTATTTAAATAGTTCATTTAACCCAATGGTGCCGGGGAAAATGAACAAAAAATGGGGAAAATATTGTGCCCACTTTCTATGTGTTTCGTGAAATGTCTGCCGATAGATGGCTCTGCTAGCGCCTGATTTAAATGGCGGGAAAACGTATATTTCACTAGTGCCATGAAAATCGATGATGTTATTTTTATCATAAACATTATAATTTTTATAATTTTTTTTCACATTAGTAACAGCAAAATAAGATTACGTAAAATATTTTGTAAATCAAAGAAACGAGTAAACGGGCGAGACGGGCGGTGCTCGTAACTGGCTCATTGGGGAGTTAGTACAAGTGTTGCCATCTTTGCGTAAAAACAATCAAACAAGTACTCACTGTGGGCATAGCACGTACGTACACGTCATATCCGGCACCAAGGGGTTAAGGTCAAATATATATAGTTGATCAGCATGATTTGGTCGTAAAATTAGAATTATATATACATTTATATATATATATATATATATATATATATATATATATATATATATATATGTGTGTGTGTGTGTGTGTGTGTGTGTGTGTGTGTGGGTGTGGGTGTGGGCGTGGGTGTGGGTGTGGGTGTGGGTGTGTGTGTGTGTGTATGTGTATGTGTGTGTATACACAGATATGTATATATACATATATATACATACACATATATGTATATTTATATTTATATATATAATAAATATACATACATACATATATATATATATATATATATATATATATATATATATATATATATATATATATATATATATATATATGTACATGCACACACACACACACACACATATATATACATCCACGATACACAATTATCACTTATCTATAGAGGAATATATTTACCAGACTGTATATTGGCAAATAAACTATTTGAAGCATAACTACGCCTCTTCCTGTTCCACAAATATACTCACAAACATTTGAACCATAACTCTTAATACAAAAATATATAAATTTACTGGTAAATAGTTGTCTTTGAAGGATTGCTATTACTGACTAATGTGACTTTAATTAATAATTCTGAAACCTACTAA